TGCCGCCTCCAGCGCTTACCGCGAGTGCAAGTAACCACCCCGCCCCGCGCACGGCGACCGGCCGCTTCTTCCTCCACGCCGCGAGTCACTCCAGCCGCTCCTCCTCCTGCACCTCCAACAACTCCACCACGTTCAACTCAAACTCCGCCTCGGCCTCGCACTCGCACTCGCATGGCCACATCTCCGCCTCGGCCTCCTCCCACTCCACCTCTTCGCACTCCACGTCGAGCGGGAGTGGGAGTGGGAGCGGCAGCGAGGGAATCGTGCTGGTGCACAGTGCCGAGAGGGGGGCGGACATCGACATCGTGGACGACAGCGCGCCTGTTCTCGATCCCGCGCTGCAGATCGACGATCGGGGTGCGGTGGGTCTACGCGGGCGGGGGCGGGGGCGCGCTATACCGACGGGACACCCACATGGGCAAGTGCAGGCGCAGAATAATCACGCGGAGGAGACACGGAAGAACCACGCCGAGGAGCCGGGTGGCGCTGCCTATCAGCCCGCAGAGGCACAGGCGATTTCGAACGATGCGGCAGAGACGAAGGACTCGAACGTAGTGAAGGACGGGGACGCGACGGAGTTGGCGCAGGAGCAGGATTCAAAGAAAGAGAAGGAGTTGGATACAAAGCCGAAACGCGCCGCGAGCGCGCCTTTCCTCGGCGGGCTGTTGGGCGTGGTGCGTTTTCTTTCCTTTTTCCTTGTGCTCACTTTGTTTTTCTTTCTTCCATTTCTTGCTTCCGTTTCTTACCTTCGCGATCGGGCTCTCTGCCCATACAGCGCGTTCCGTCTTTGATCTCTCTTTCTCCTCTCTCTCTCTTTCCCTTTGCCCTTGCATTCTCGCTTCGAGATTCACAGCCCGCTCCAGCTTCGGATTCGACTTGGCGACGCTTTTTTTCTTCCACTTTCCTTATTTTTAACTGGAGCGGATCGGTGGAGTGGATTCGATTTGTCAGACGCAGACGCGGAGTGGAGATCCCGTCCCGGACGTGTCCGTCTTCCGTATGGCTGCCGTCGCGCCTCTCTCGCGCACTTCCATCCATTTGTTCTCTCCTTTTCTTTTCACCGCGCACCTCGCCACGGACATGTACACCTTACTCGTATTTGGGGGCGATGCGGATATGGATACGGATGTGGATATCGATGGATCCGATACACGGTCCGGAGGCCTTTTTCTTTTTCTTTTCGTTTGTTTACAATTCCCTTTTTTTTTTTTTTGCCGCTCGACTCTCACGCGATTGATTACTCATTCATCCCCCCATCTATCCAGCCTCAGCCCCCTCCCGGGCCCACCGCGAACGGTCCCGCCGCCAATATCAATGGGATCTCCACAACCGCCGCCGCCAAACCCGCCCCCGGCCCAAACGGCAACACGCACACGCGCCCGGCGCACGCGCGGCGGAAGAGCAGCGACTCTTACATGGACGCAGGCGACGCGCGCTCGGTGTCCTCGTTCGCGACGTCCAGTTCGCGTGTCGCGCGGCGGAAGGTGTGCTCTACCCCTGCCACACAACTCCGCAACGCTTTACTAACACGATACCCTTTTTTTTGCAGCAGGTCCGCCCCGCGACGCGCAGCCGGCAGTCCAACTCCAACTCGCAGTCCCATTCGCGGACGCGCACGCGCTCGAGGACGCGGAAGGGCGGGGTGGCTGCGTTGACGCCGAATGCGCCGGCGAATGGACGCGCGCCCGCGCCCGCGCCACAGCAGGCCACCGCCAACGCCCCCCGCACCGCGCGCGACGCGCCGAACGCGCTCGGCCTGCCGTCGAACCTTGCCGCCGCCGCGGCGCTCGTGGAGCGCACGATGAGCACGCGCAACCTCCGGCCCGTGGTGGTGCTCGCGACGAGCGACGAGGACGGGGAGTGGAGCGACGATGAAGAGGAGGAGGAGGATGAAAGCGGGGACGAGAGTTTTGTGGATGGGGAGAGCGTGGCGGATACGAACGGGGGACGGGTCGCGGCAGACGAGGAGGAGGAGGAGGAGGAGAATGAGGAGAATGAGGACGATGGGGAGGAGTGGGAAGATGAGAGCGAGAGCCCCGGGCAGAGTCGGCGGGGGAGCGATGCGCATGCGCATGCGTACCCGCATAATGCCAAGGCGCCGCCGCCGTCGCTGCAGCAGCCCGCGCCCGCGCCCCTCACACACGGGCATGCGCGCGGGCATAGCACGTCCGGGGCCGCGACGCGCACCACAAGTACGACGGACCTGCGCCAGCTGCCCACGCGCCCGTCGCACCGCTCGACGTCGCACCTCCCCGCGCTCGCCGCCGCCGCCGCCGCCGCCAACGCCGCGCACCCCGCGCCACCGCGGGCACACCGGCACCACACCACGGGCGCGCAGAACGCGCGCACGCACAACGCGCTGCAGGCGACGATGAGCGACACGAAGCTCTCGACGGTCATGGCCGAGGCGCAGCGCCAGCGCGACATGTTCGCCAAGGCGCCGCGCGGGAGCTACGAGAACGTCACCGCCGCCGCGGGCACGCGGCCCGGCGGGCTCACGCTGCTGCTCCGCCCCCCGCCGCCGCCTGCACCCGAGCCCGCGCACGACGCCGCGGTCCCGCAGCGCACGCGGCCCGCGGGTGGGTTTGGGCGCATGGGGCTGATGATGACGCGCCCGCCGGTATCGGCGGGGGTGGATGGGTCGGAGTTGTCGCCGATTCCGCCGACGCCGGCGACAGGGGCGGTGGGGCAGCAGCAGGCGCAACAGCAGCAGGCACGATTACAGCAGCAGCAGCAGCAAGCCCCTGTACCGCCGGCCGCCCCGCTCGCCCAGGCCACGCAGCGCGCGCCGCCGCCGCCGCGCCGCCCGGGCCTCCCGCGCGCGCTGTCGAGTAGTGCGCTGCCGCCGTACTTTGGATCCGCGGGGACGAGCGGGTCGCTGGGGAAGAGCAGTGTCGCGGGGCCGGTCGTCACCGGCGCCGAGACGCAGGCTGCGCCCGGGTCCGGGAGCGTGCAACAACAGCAACGTCCGCTCGTGAACGGGAGCGCGAACGGGAGCGCGAACGGGAACGGGAGCGCAGGAGGGCGCGCGGGGTACCGGCCCAAGGGCCCGCCGGCGGAGATGGAGTACGACGACGAGGAGGATGAGTCGGATGCGGATGGGCGGGGCGTGATTGCGAATGCGGACGCCAAGGGCAAGGCCCGCGCGCCGCGGGACGAGGGGCTGCAGCTGTCGAAGAGCGTCGCGCAGGAGAAGCTGCGTGTTCTGGCAGAAAAGAGCGCGATCCTGTCGCGTGCGAAGAACGGCGGCGGCGGCGGCGACTCGGTGGAGGCGGAGCGGAGGCGGTTGTATGTCGAGGCGGGTGTCGCACCGTGGGCTGCTGCAGGTGCAGACGCTGCCGCCGGCCCCAGCACCAGTACCGGCTACGCCACGCACGCGCCACCGCCGCCGCCGAACCGCTCCTTGTCGTCCGCGCCGGTGGGCTTCCCGTACAACCTCCCCGCGCCCGCGCCGCCGTCGACGCCGCGCACGACGCGCCAACAGATGCTGCGCAACGAGATGTCCGAGAGTCTGCGGCACAACCTGCTGTGGCAGCGCAAGTTGAGCAGGACGGACTTTATTGGGCCGCCGCCGCGCCGCACGAAGAGCACCGTGAACGTGATGAGCACCACCGAGGGCCGCCAGCCGGAACGCAGCCTCGTCCGTGTGACACCGCGCGCGCCTGGGACGGCGCCACCCGAAGGCGCGCCGCCGCCGATGGTCGACCCCCCGGGTGCCCCCAAGAAGAAGCTCGTGCGGAATCTCAGCTGGGCGAACAACTCGGAGTACCATACGAGCGGCTGGTAGTCTTCATTCAACTTTTCAAATTTTCTTTTTCTTTCCCCTGTCGCTCCAGTCTATTGCATGCATGCTTCTACTACTGTACGAAATCATAACATACTCATCGTCGTCATGTTTGTTGTCGCTCTCGTCTCACTTGTACTACTATTATCATTGCTCGTTCAGCGTACATATAATTGGTAAATACGAATCGTTTTGGGATCATGTCGACACTGGACGATTTCAAAGTCCCTGGAACCAGATGCGACTTTCATCATCGTTCAACTCGAGTCCCTCTCCCCATGTTCGCTGCGGGACGTTCACAAACATAGGACTGGCCAGCAATGATATAATTCAGCCTCACTTTTCGATGCAGGATACATAATCAAGTTGATGAACGAAAGACAGGGAACCTTGGTATTCAGTCCGCGCGGTTCCAAATAGTAAATGCACATGAATTCGGGCGATGCGGCCATAGCGACAGATATGAAACCTGCCCCGGAGGTGAGCACGACCAAAAACTACCCAGAACTGTGGTCCGGTGAGGGCCCGGGGGACTCGGAGATACCACTCTGCGATTTTTAACAGTTCAAGAGCGCGGATTTGGAAAACAGACCAGGGAGGAGATTAGTATTGCCTGCGTCGACATGAAACGATGCTGCTCTCGCGCTCGCTCGAATCGTCCTGCGACTTCCAGACTATCAAAGGGCGAATATTAAGATGAGAAGTCTTGTGTTAACCACACCGCTCACCTGAGGTCACTTGGCGTCCTTGAACGGCCTGGCTCCAGGCTCAGGGCGATTCAAGAACAATTGCCCAATGCGATTCGACGAGAGTCCAGGCCTGGATGCAACTTGAACGGTTAATCGCACGAGACCGGGTGGATGGTTTTTGAAGGTGGGTTGGACTATGTATGTACGATGGTCGATTGTAATTCTGTGTAGCTTTGAGCTCATCAGGATGCAAATGAGTCAGCAACTTTCCAAATCGGGTCCACTAACACCCAAGTCCCGATCGGGAAAACCAGTTCAACTCGTCAGATACCACGACAAGGCCGGCAAGGACGCGTCTGGATACTGACCGGCGGGCGAGGGTGAGATCACCTTAGAGCCTACTTGTTGTGAATACCTTTTGTTTGCGTTGAAACGGTCCGCCACTGCTGCGACCTCTCTGCCTCCGCGCAGAATCGAGTTCCTTTGATAGGTGCGATTGAAAACGATGACAAAAAGATACCAAAAACTGATTAGAGTGGGATTCGAACCCACGCCCCGGAGGACCAGATTTCGCATGCGAAATTGGAGCGTCAAATTATGAAGCTGATCCTTAGTCTGGCGCCTTAGACCGCTCGGCCATCTAACCGTGAAGCCACAATTCCGAGAGAATGATACACCTGGAGTACAGTTCAATTTTACCTTTCTGCCATAGGAACTCTCTATATTGCGTTCCGGACTCGGATATGACCTAGAAAGCGGCTGTGAGTTCATTCTATGTGAGCATTGCAATGTTACATCATCATCCAACGGGATGTATGGTGGGAGAATGGACAGCCTGGAGATATTTTTGAAGCCGGGGTGACTACTTCAACACCCGAGGCAACCGAGCACCCAGCAAAACAATACAGTTATCAACCGGTCACTGATACACTAAAATGAATTGGCTCGTTATTTTCTTTCTTGACACTTTTTGGTCAACTCTAATAGGCCAAAGTAATCATCTATAGAGGGTACATCTTTGAACATGATGTCTTAATTTTTTGTGAGGAAACGAGGGAGAGACGAAGCAAATTTCTGCCACTACTCAATGATACAGTCACGTGTCGCAAACCTGTTTCTCGCAGAACAGAGTTATAAAGCAAGTAAGGCCGACAAGCGGCAGAGCCCGGTTACGGGTGAGAACATGCAATCCAAACATTCCCAACGAGGCTCAGTTGAAAAATTATGAAGCGGGTAGGGCCGACGAACAGCACAGCGTGCTACCAATTGGGCTTTCGAGTTGATTCTACAACACTCAGTCAAGCAGTGAAGACGAAGATATTTCTGACTGTTGAAAATTGTACAACGATGGTGAAGAGGATATGTTCATTATGCCAATTGCTTTCACTCTATATTATATTGATCATAGTGAGCATGAAGAGATGGCTCAATGTTCGCTCGGTCGCCGCATGCCTGTCGACCAGCCCAGTGGGCCCTGCTCGGGAACACATTATTGGTGGCATACCAGTTGGTATTTGCTGCGGTTTAAGTTCATGTGTCCCAAAATTCAGTCTGTAGACTTGAAGACTCAAAATTTGAGAAAATAACTCATACGGTCGCAAACCGGGTAGAGGGTCCAACAACAATGTAGAAAAGCAACTGTAGTTTCGGGTATACCTGCCTTGAAGTGGTTTCCAGACTTGGTATCAACACAGGCAAAACGATCAAGTGGATTGAGAGAAATAGCACTGTTTGTCTGCTGGTTCAACTGTTGGTTGATGGAGATCAATAATTCCTGCTTTCTTCAGTCAATGCTGGACCCAGAATATCCGCCATGCTGGTATACTGGGGGATTTCAGGTCCCTGATTACAGATAGGTGGGTTCAGAGTCAAAAACCTGGGTGGCAGAACTACAAATTGGTGGTACTGTGGTGTTGTGCTTCCACATATTGGGCATATTCGGTCCGCAAAGGCATAGCCTCGCTCTCAACAACTACAAGAGATCCCTCGGAAGTAAATTGTGACATGTACGGAGGGATTTGGTGAGATATTTATCCACCAGACAATCTGAATGTTGCTCTTCCCGGTTTACAATTGCATATGAGTAGTAGGATTAAATTGGGTATTGAGATTATCACCACGAGTCTTCAAGTTTCTATTGCACGATGTGAGCCGGCTGTATGAAGGAAAAATCATTTGGCTGGCTACTGTGGCCTCTGAATGCTAGGGCATTTCTGGTACTTGCACCTTCAGAACTTCATAGTACTCAACCACCCAGTTTCTGAGTGCAAAAAGATAGTGAACACTGAATATTCCACCAACCCAAATACAGCCCAGGTAGTGATGTGCTCGGCCTGGCTTCAAGCCACAAGCCAGGCCGAGCGAAGCTAGGCCAAGCCACACCTCTGGCTTGATCTGGCTTGGGCTTCTGGCTTGAGATTTCCCACGGAGGCTCCGGCGCGCCCGCGAAGGCCCTGCGACAGGCCCCGAAGCCGACTCGCGCGCCTCTTGCGCTTCGCGACGAGCGTTCGGGCGCACAGGGCCTCTGGCATTACTGCACAAGATATGCTTCGCGCGGCAGCGCTCGCACGCAGAACGACCGTTCCGGACGAGGCACTGCGCACGGACCTTCTTGCAAGCTGAGCAAACTGTAAAATGTCAGCTCCGGTACCTCAGGTCGGGTTGCGACGCACCATTCTCGTTGTTCTCGATATCGCTATCGAGCTCGTCGTTCTCCTTGTCCTCGTCATCCTCCGCGTGCTCCGGGGTCGGCGACCGCGCCCATTCGATTGGGACTTCTTCGGCAAACTCCGAATCCTCCGCATCGAGCTCCGCCAGGCGCTGCACGACTTGCGCTGCCCTCGCGGCCTGCTCCTGGAGCTCCGCCGCCTCCGCCTCGTGCGCCGCAATTATCTCCGCTCAGCGAGCTTCATGCTGCATGCGCCGCCTTCGCGCGACCTCCTCCCGCACCTCCACCGACGACGCGCGGCCCTTCCCCTTCGAAGCACCGCCGGAGCTGCCCCCGACGTCCCCGGGCGACTCCTCATGTCTGTTGTTGCTGTTTCCGTCGTCTTGCATGGCGATGAGAAGTAGTTGTGCCGGGATGGTGGTGGTAAGAGAGAGAGTTCGTTATGACTCGAAACCAACAGCACGTGACTTTTTGATCTTGTTTATTTTCTCACGATTCTCCATTGTTCTTTCGTCTTGGTTCCTCATGGGAGAGGAACCTAAGAGGGGGATACTGTTATATCCGTGCAGCCTCCCTCTGACGTCCGGCCAACTTCTGGCCCTCATCCGCCCCCCTCCGATACCTCTGGTACCGCCGGAGCTCCGGTCATTGACCGGAGCCTCCGGACGTCCGTGTATCATCGGGTTTTTACGCAATGAAGGATTACTGAGCGTTTCCCATTTATCCGTCTTCTCATCTTCCTCCTTATTGTCTTAGGACTTGTCATCACTTCCTACAACACGCTCTATTGTTTAGAACCACCCTCCTTCCTATTATGGAATACAATTAGCTACTTAGTATATATATCACTTTAATATGTCTTGTACTTCAGATTGATAATTAACGTTGCTTGGCTCTAACTCCTTGCACTGAGTTGCCCTTGCACTCCTCGTCCTCCTCCGGTACCTCCGGTCATCGTCCTCTATACCGGACTACCTGCCGGTCAAGGTAGTCGCTCACCCTTTACCCCCTGTGGTGTTGCGATCACTCATATACAGCCCGGACCCTCTGTCGGACTTCCGGCACTCCCGGTCCTTCATCCCCGGCTCGGTATATAACAAGTTCAGATGGTAAAATACCCTTCCCAATTTCTGGGGGGACTGCGCAGAGGTAGTTTGGGCGTGGGAAATGCTCCGAGGTTCAAAAAGTTCGAACACGTTCGAACGCCGAACCTGAACCGAATGCAGGTTCAAGTTCAGCGTTCGGAAAAAAGCTCCCCGAACCTGAACAGAACCAAACCCTGCCAGCACTATTTAAACCCCACAGAAAATTTTATTTCAACCGAGAACTTTGAATCGGGATGTCCGCTTTTGGTGTATCGAGTTGAATTGTACCATTATGGGCCAATGAAAGTCAGAGGAGTGTTCCTTTCAACCTCCGAGGCATGAAGAAGGACTGATATATTACGTGCAGTTCATATACAGCTCGGAAAAGCACCCTTCGGCAATCTCAGTCGAATCCATGGCTCAAGCCAGGACCAGGCCAGACTTTCTGGCTTGGGCTTGGGGTTGAGATTTACGAAGCCCAAGCCAAAGCCAGGCCAAGCCAAGCCAGCACATCACTAAGCCCAGGATAGACAGCAAAATGGCTGTCCAGTCCCCGTTCCGTATATTTGCATCGCAAAGGGTGCAATAGGTACATCCATATACTGTACGGAAACCCGTCTACTGGTCACGGCGTCGGTGTGCAGACGAATTGAACTTGGAAACTTATATCGGATCAATGTATCCGATTCTCCGAAAGTTTCCGAACACCTGACCCGAACATAAAGCAAAAATGACTAATCACCAAAATTGAACTTTGGGATTATCTCTACCATCTGTGGACGAAACGGAGCAGAACACCTGTAGTTTAGACAGAACAAATTTGATTACATTCTGGTCACATATTTGAGTCTGTCCCCCTCGTGCTCTCCTGTTTATTTTGCACTGACCAATTGTTGCTGACGAGCTGATGTTTGCATGTGTTAGGAAAATGTGATCTACTGCCAAAACTCAAAAAGCAGGCTCTCTAAGACCCAGTTACTTATGTAACCGGGAATTCCACAGCAAATCCGGCGACTGTTATGATTATTTGTGTCCTGGCATCCATATTTGTGTCTACAATGATGTTCAAATGCCCAGGGAGTCAAATGGACGCGCCCAAGAGATTTCGACGGTAATCTCACGTGATCGACAAATTTCCCAAAACGGATGAACAAGAAGAAAATTGTCGCTACGGAACCATTCTCCACCCTGGTTCACCAATATACTTCTCCATATGGCTTTCCAAACGTTATAGAATATGGTTGCCAACTTTCCTCATTTTTTATTGAAATTTTTATGATGCATCACAAGGGGCATCCTGTTAGAAGATTTTCCGGGGCAATGAGCAGGGACTCTGAGGCTAAGCCCAACGTCTCGGACATTCAAAACATCCTAAAGAGTACCCAGAATAAACTACACAGTCCCACTGTACATTATACTGAGGTAATCAGACATATATTGCGAGTGTATCATTGAGTGGTGGTGTATCAATGACCAGTTGATAACTGTACTGACTAGCTACAGGTCGGAGGCGAAAATCAATACTTAGTTGAGACGCATTGCCACTGATCACTGCCACTTCCTGTTCTTAATCACTTCGGAAAATTTTAGGGCATCCAATTTAATTTTGGCCACAACCTAATCCCTTCTCTATGGCACCACTGATCCTCAGTTTGTTCCTTCTCCGACACTCTCATCCTTGAGACGTACGATTGCAAACTGTGCCAAAAAAATAACAAAACTGATTAGAGTGGGATTCGAACCCACGCCCCGGAGGACCAGATTTCACGTGGGAAAGTGGGGCTTCAAATGAAGCTGATCCTTAGTCTGGCGCCTTAGACCGCTCGGCCATCTAACCGCGAAAGCCTATGCCGATAAGACCTTCAATACCGGGTCGAGTAATTTACCTGCCGT